GTTGCGAGACCATAAATTTGCGCGTGGAAGATATTCGTCGTCTAGAAGTCTTTGGCTGCCGATGTTTACGTAGTTTGGCACGGTTGGATGGAACGAGCATGTGTTATGTCTTGTATCAAGAAGATGTTCGATACGGGCGCCTCTTTGTCCAGGCCCCAACAACTGGAGAAAGAAAACTGCTGAGAAACGACAGTCAGAGTGTATTCTTGACCATGAACCAACAAGCAAATATATGTGGTCAATTGGGCGTACGCGAACAGACGTGGTGATGCGCCAAATTAGATCGTTACTTTGACACTCAGGCTGATCGATGGGACGACAGCTATTTGATTCGCCTTAGTCATCCAATCGGGAGTCGATTTGGCTTGGGTGTCACGAGCGCACTTGTGGTGTGACGCGGGTCGCTGCGTGGTAGGAGGGATTTTGTGCGCTGCGTCCTAACAGCATGTAAGCAACTCTGAGGTAAATCGTCGCGTATTTGATAATGATTCGATAGAGAATTCGTTGTCCTATCGAATTCAGATTGGTCGGTTTCACTGGTTAGGATACGTATTGCGCATACCGAGCTATCGTCTGCCGCACCTCGCCTTATTCGCTGTTGCGGCTCCAGGTTAGAAGAAGTGACATGAAGTTCAACGGATGACGTGGAGACGAGGCATGGAGAAATGCACAGAGCATTTAGTTGTAGAAGGTGTCTTCCGTCTCCTAGATTTAGGTCAAAAAGACTGCAATCCTTTGGTTGGAGACTCTGAGGGATGCGGCAACTAACCGATAGCAGTGGCGTTCTTGTCTGTTGTTATCGGGTCAGAATGCTTGAAAAGGCATGTATTCACAGTTAAGTTTTTCACTCTATCTGTTGACCATAAAGGGTTGCTTCCTTTTCCGCCCTCCCATTTGGCCCAGTCCCTCTTCGTCTTGTATTTTATCACTTAATTTGTGTACATTGCGAGCTGCGCAGCGGTCAGTGAAGTTCACTGCACTGTATCTCTCTGTACGATGACTATGATGATTGCTGTAACACAATCTCAATCCGCCTTTGATATCATTGGTGTTGGTCAAGGTTGTTGTTTTGCATCTAGGGTTTAGATATACGCTTTTTCCTCCATTCATTCTCATTCTGTGTTCCCGCCCTGCTCATGCAAAGTAATTGCTTGCACTTGTGAACGAGTGCGTGTGTTTGGTGTTGCACGACAGTGCCGGTACTGGTTCGTGTGCCGTCATTAACGCGAATAACTAATGACACCAATCACGGGATTTCTTTCTACTTTTATTTTCTATCTTGTTTTATACAGAGCTCAACATGTAGCACGTGCCGTGGCTCGACGTCAAGCTCTGTTCAGAAGAGCTGCAGAAGTACACGCGCGCAATTTGTCTGCAGTCGAAGGTTAGTGGCCGTGTACATCAAATCAATCGGTGATGCCCTCACTTATTGCCCGCCGAATGTGTAATATCGTAATGGTTGCAATGTCTTCAGTCTAGCTTGCGACAAGGGTGATTTTATTCTGGATTTACTGTTCGTACTTTCTATACTGAATTGTCCTATATGGCTGATACGATCCTGAAAAGTGATTTCCTTTTGAGTGAAAATGATGATATTCAAGAATTTTAAGGCTATTTTGTAGGGTTACGTTGCGTTCTACTTTTTTTCTGCTAGAAAATTACCATTGTGGGGCCGCCTTAGGCTGAATCCAAACGTTGTCGTTCATAATGATTGTTTATTGAGTTAATTAAAGATTCTCTCGTGACCACATGTGACTCGTGCCGTTAAATTTTAGGATGAAGCTCCGTGATACGACAGGCTGTCCCATCAGAAATCTTTGCATATGAAGTGTACAATCCGTATGGTTTAAGGTTGTACTGAATATGGTCGCTTGATCTCACGCACTACTGATTGCACTGGACCAGCGACAAAGAACAATGAACGCGATTTAAACGATATTTCTGTCCAGAAGTAACAATAAAGAGCGACAGGAACTTGGGCGGTCGATGGTCAATTGTTCAGCGACAGATCTTAATACATTTGGTGATTAGAATCAGTAGTCAAGTATACGGTCACGCGTGAAAATGCGTCTTTATCGGTTCGAGTTAGGCTATAGCAGCATTGCCATTACTTCATCGTCCTATAAGCAGTCTGAGTGCGAACATTTAAGGATAGCGTACAAAGTGCGCGTGTGAATTTTCACGTTGCTTCTTCTGGACCCAAGCACCGTTTTATTTATTCTTGTTTCAGTGTTCATTATTTAGAGAAAAATTTGTCATCGGCAGGAATGCAATTTCATTCCCGTGGTACAGTGCCCCCCTTAGTGTATCATTCTGAAGACCAAACATGGCTTTCGGGTTGTTTATCAATATTATCACCAACAACAATCACATTTGGTTGTGTCAAAGACAGCTTTAGGCCATTCTGTTGTGAAATATGAAAAGCGTTACACTGGAGCAAGTTCGCGTAAACATTTCAGATGAAGTGTTGTGTAATCACGACTGAAGACATGCCATTTGGCAAACAGTACCAGTTGGTAATCTTCAATTTGGGGTGTAATGCATATTGTGCGCGCCTAATGGGGCATCGAGATGCGTTGGACGTTTGAACTCATCCCAATAAATTGCGGTTTTCGCACCGTTCCTTTGCCATGCTGGTCATGTTTTGTCTAGTCAAAGTCTCTAATTGTGTATCCAGCAAGCAAATTCACGTGCTTCGCCCTGAATAACCTAGCGGTATTCCACTCAGGAGCAAATCGTAGACCGATTTCATTGCTTGGAGATTGTTTTTCCTTCCAGTCTAGAGTCAGACACCTATGAAATATAGTAATATTTAAAGAATTTTACTTAACTTTACGGCGGCTGGCTCCTGGGAGAGGATAAGCCGGCTTCATGGATATCCCAAACTGCCAGTGCTCGGCGATCTGCGGCAAGATCAGCGCAGATTGAGATTCAGCTTGACCTCCATTGGCGAACGCCGTAGACCGAACGGAGACCAAAGTTTTCAGTATCCGTACCGTGTCAAGCCAGGTTTTCAGCTGTCCACCGTGTCGACAGCGCCAGTTGGCTCAGGTTGGTGGTCCCAAGACAGCTTTGGTCAAGTCGTTGTCAGACTTACGAAGAATGTGGTCAAACCATTGTAGACGCCGCCGTTGTATTAGCATCCGCAGCCTTACAAGATTAAAACACCCATTTTTGACCGCTTCATTTGAGAGCTGATCTCTTCATCTTACTCCCAGAATGATTCTTACGCACCAGTGATCGAAACTTCTAATCTGCGACAGTCTTCGACTCTAAATAGACAGGTTTCGCAGCCGTGTGGCAGAACAGGACGGACTGCTGCGGAGAAAACTCGGATTTTTGATGAATGTGACAGGTCACGAACCTCAGACGTTATAGAATAGTCACTTAAAACACTCGATCACTGCCTCTTATGCTAGAGTACTCGTCCAAGTCAACATTTATAGTCAAATTTTTTACTGGATCTTTTTCTTTGATAGTTTCAATGTTATATTTTTTCCTCGATATCTCACACGAATCTTATATGGTATGGTGCTTGCCTATCACGGTTCATGCGTTTTTCATCTCCTATGAGAGAAGGAAATCACCCTCGTCGTGATAAAGCAGACGGGACTGAAATGTCGCTTTCTGTGTGGATTTCTCGCGCTGCACTGATAAGCCGAGGATGCTAGTCCTTGATAAACCTAATTATTTTTGAAATCGCATCTCCGCTGTTTGTAAAAAACTGGAATTGTATGTAGTTGTGTGACAGTTAAGTGCATTGAAGAATTTCTCGGTTGGCTTTTTGTAATTGTTTTTTGTGCTTTGTAGTCGAAGCTCAGCGACTGGCTTCCGATCGACGTGTTAAAAGGGATCAAAAGTTCGAGGAGCTCCGACAAGCAGCCGAAGAAGCCGCTGCTCGACGGCGTGCTGCGCTCGACGCGGAAAAAGCTATGGATGAGGCTTTATTGGATGCTGTTGTTCTGGAACAGAACTATCGGGACGAGGTAATTGCGGAGGCTAAGTAAGTGATCTTTGTCCCATCAATTTATTATCCCTTTCCGTATGTACCTTTTATTGTTTTTACTAGTTTATCTTTTTTGTCTTCCGCCTCAAAAGAAAAAAAATCAAGTGACCTAAGTATAATTGTCCCGTGTTTTTGTGTTATATTTGCTTTTTCTCCAGATATCCACCGACATTTTTCATCTCTTCATTATCAGTAATTCAGAACAGTTGCTCTTGCATTACATTGGGTGGTGGTGGCGCAGTGGCTTAGTCGCTGTCACCGGCGTGCTTTTGACCCTGTGGTCCGGGGTTTGAGCCCCGCCACCCCCACCCGACTTTGGTGGTAGCTCTGCTGTCGTCCGGTTCAATACCACGCGTAACCTATCGGGGCCTTATGTGGTTCGCCACTCCAAGTTCCGGGGCTTAGGTCGCCGATTTCAACCACTGAACAGCAGATCCTCGTGACTATGGGGTTGACCCCGTCTGCTGTTCATCACACCTAGGTGTAATAAAAAAACATGTCCATCATGAATCGCACTAACGAGGCTAAATTCCGGGGTCGGATACGGACAAGGATAGTGCAGTAGCATTTCTAACAGAACCAGTACTGACAACTTGAAGGCTGTAGAAAAGAGAATGCTTTGGCCGAACAATCCAGTCTGGTCGTGTGACGTTGACAGAGAAGATCAGCAGTGATGCATGGAAGAAATTGTAAGCCTAACATTGTCAAGCGTGATCTAACCAAGTTCCAATGAATGAAACGGACGCACCTCAAATATGGGTGCTGTACTGAAGAGTGTGTCGTATTGCGGCTTAACATGAGGGTAGAAGTGTGAAGAGTGGACGAAGAAAACCGGAACTAATGGGTCCAAAAAATGAAAAACAGTGAATTTAAAGATCTCAGGACGTACTACTGAAATAAAAGTAGGAAAAGTAAGCTTCTCGCTCCAACAAGGTAAGTTCACATTTTTGAGAAGGGAGGAGGACTATCTGTAACATTGAACGATTTACAGTGAAATAAACCTTGGAATACTATTCGCCTAAGGTGCTCGTACGCACTCTTTTACTTATAGAAACTTTTCTTCTACTCGAAGACAAAATAAACGCTGGCATCCCCGCACACACTCAACTTTTTCTAGCCTGAGATCTTAGCCCCGTCATCACCAAGCACTCTCTGTAGGGCAGCAATGTGAGGACCATGTCCTGATTCAGTGTCGAATCAGAATCGTCAACAGCACGGTTGTTTGTATGAACATTCGTGGATTTTCGCGTCCAAGAGATCGCCCAATTGACAAAAACCCACGAACTCATTCATTGCCGCTGATCACCCGCGATCTTTTATTTAGTGAAGCAATGTTCCAATACTCATGGTGTACTACTTCCCACTGGTAACCTGGCGATGTGACCGAGAGCGTTCAGTTGCGCTGACAGTAAACTTGTACCCCTCGGAACCCACAGTCCCATACATTGAAGATTTTTGGGCACACGTACTATTGTGGTTGTCACCGAAACAACTATTAATATCCGAGGTGAACGAAACATTGAATTCCAAGGCTTGCATTCAATTAGCCTTATAATCAATAATTGCCCAGCGGCATTCATTATGCACAAGATTTAATCAATTTTGTTTATTCTAACGTCCTTATTCTGTAGCAAATAGCCTCGGCGAACAATAGCTCTATTCTGTCGCTAAGATTGGGGCTCCTAAATAATTGATATGCCATCTCATTGCCGTGTGCATCCTGTATCTGCTTTTGTTTAGTTAGCTCTTCAGACAAACCTTACCTTGTGTAATTTTTACTCAGGGTCGAATTAGAATCGCACTATGCAAGCTTGATCGAAGACACGGAGATTCGGCGTCGTACTGCACAAGAAAGCATTGAGGCTAGTCGTCGATTGAATGCGAGCGTCGATGAAAACGGAGCCAAGGTCCGTGAGTATAAAGCCGGATCATATGACCCCAGTTCTTCAAACGATTCCGGGGGCTCAGATTTTCTCAATTTGCTTGAACCCGAGGCCTCCGTCCGTGAGGTTGCTCCGACCCAGTCTCCCATCGACGAAGTATCACTCACCCTAAATCATCAAAAAGTGAATTCTGATCTGAATCCTGACAACCCGAACGTCACGGAGATTCCAATAGAAGCAGATTCATTGGCCGCATTGCGTACCAAATATCGCTTTCGTAACGCGGGCGCTATCTTACCGAAGGAGCACATGTTTCAACTGCTGTATCGTAATGTGAATCTCGGTGCGCTGGAGAATGTGGTACGTTAAATATTCCATTCGTTCTGGTTTAAGAGAATAATATTCGTAGTATTTTACTGTTTTCGTTCAATGCATATATATAGGTATTAACCAAACTCGTGCAACATCCTGATTTTTATTAAATTTGTTCCTCTCAATGCTTTATTCTTCCAGTCTCATTCACGGGATTGAA